TGTGTGTGTGGCCAGCTCAGCCCACCAGGGGGCGGGGCTGGCTGGCATGTGGTGCTGGGGGATTGAACCGCGGTCCCTGATGCTTTGCTAAGTTTGTTCTAAGTAGGTGCTTTAGACCACTGAGCCATCTCTCCAGCCCGATGAACGCCTTTGATACCTCTGGGAAGCTGAGATGAGAGGGTGGATATTTTGAGCTCAGATTGGGCAATTTAGCAATGTGGTGAGACCCTTATGAAATTAAAAAGGGAGAGAAGACTAACAATGTAGCTCACTGCAAAGGCTCTGAGTTCAATACTCAGAATTGGAAAACAATACACAAATTAATTTATGGCAATGCTGCAAAGGTTACTCTTCTTATATGCTGCAAAATCTTCTAAGCCTACAATATGCCAAACACTAAGGGGAAGCTCCTATTGAAAGCCTACTTTTCTGTGTTCTGTTTTGTGTTCCACAGTATTTGTCTTTGCTTAGTTGCTGCTATTTATTTGTAATGAAGAAATGTCACAGCAGTATGAAAAATAGAGGAATAAAAACCATTCAGGAATAAGGACTATGTTATGAAAAAACACAATAGAATGGGGGATGGTTACTTGTCATTGTAGTTATCAGGATATATTCTCATAGAGAAAAGCTCCAACACGGCCTGTGGATCTGTCTGCCAGCCAGGAAGAAAGGTCTCACTAGAAACCACTTTGCCAGCATCTTAATCTTGGTCATTCAGTGAGAAAGTATAGTTTCTGCAATTTAAACTGCCTCATCTGTGCTAAATGGTGACGAGGCCCTAGCTGACTTGTACAATCCTGGAGAAGAGAAAGTAGAAAAGATGTACAATCATTTAAGTCCCTGAATGTGGCTTCCATTATCATAAAAAGTTTTGCTTGCCCAACGGAAATAGAAGTCCCTGTTTTCTTGTGAAACTAACATTCAACAGTTTGAGACCCTCCCGGGCCTTTAGAATGCTACTGTAACGTGTTACAGAATGATCATGTATGTTCACTGCACTCAGGTTACCACAAAGTGGGCGGGAGACTCTCCTGTAGGTGCTGGAAAACAAAAACCACCAAGTAGCAGTTAAATGATCCATCAAGGATTGGGTTGCTCAGCAATTCTGAGAGTCACCCTCACCCTCCCAAGGGATGTGCATTTATCACCTCTTTGACACGTGAAGGGGTCCTTGATAGGACTAGCTGGAGCGCTGGCATAACCACGTCCCTGGCTATAAAGAGCTAACAGATCATAATTGCGATCGTGATAGCCCATGGAAAGGTAGACTGTTTCCAGTTTTGAAAATAGATGCAAAAATCTGGAATAAATATTAGAGCAAATTGAAATGGCATAATGGAACAAAAATGTAATGTTACCAGAAATAAATGAATGGTTTTATTTAAGGGAAAACTGCAATCTAAAGCAAAATAAATCACATGTTCAACCAAAAGTTGATGTAATCAGTGACAAAGCATTTTACTGAGTTCTACCACACACATACATACACACACACACACACACACACACACACATATAAAATATTAAATTAGGAATAACAATCTTAAGCGTGCTGTAGCTCAAGGGTGAGTGTTTACCTAGGGTATACATACTTAGTGTGTGCTTGTGTGTGTGTGTGTGTGTGTGTGTGTGTGTGTGTGTCTTTACCCCATAAAGAACATCAGAAACTGGATAATTTAGATGTGAACCAAAAACAACTAAATAAATAATAGCGTCTATAAGATATAATAATAATAACCCATGATAAGTTTATTTCATAAATATTGATGAACTAGATCACTCAGACAGACTGTCATACAAAAAAAATCTTTTTTTCTTTTTTGCAGTACCAGAGGTAGAACTCAGGACCTTACACTTGCCAGGCAGGCACTTATGCCTCAGAGCTATTTCCTGGCCCCCAAACTCAAAACAATATATCAAGCTTAATTTCCCTACACCTCTCTAACACCTAAAAATTTGAACCTTTATTGGATGACCTTAAGGAGTGAGGAGAGAAGTCAAAACTCAGAGCCCATAGATGTTTGCAGTATAGTAAGAGATGCATTAAATTAAGAACCCAAAGAACTAGATATTAGGGATATGTCAATGTGAACCACAAATGAAGTAACCCACATAGAGAATTACAGAACATGTTATAATAACCTGGGATGTCCAAGAAGCTTCAAACCATGAACTTGGTTTCAAATAGTCCAAGATTAGTGGTAGAAATTTATTTCAGAGAAAATACAAAAAATTTTCTCCAAAGGAAAATATCTTCATCTAGACTTCAAAATAGTTCCTGACATTTTTTTTCCTAATACACTGAATAACAAGTAATCAAAGCTAACTACATACAGAAGAAAACAGTACCATACAAAGATCAAACATATTGCTTAACTTGTCATTATGATCAATTATCTAATGAAAACAAATTAAAGAAGGCAATATGCATTTTTGGCTCACAGTTTCAGAGGGTTCAGCCCATGGCCAGCAAGCTCTACTGCTTTCAGGTCTGTGGCAAGGCAGAAGGATAAATGCACAAAGGGCAAGAAAAGGAAACCTGCTCACTTCACAGATGTCAGGAAGCAGAGAAAAAGGGAAAGATTCACAGAAAAAGAGACCAGGTACCAAATGTAATCGCCAAGGTCACAACCCGATAATGCCTTCAACTAGGCCTCATTTCTGTTTCCATAGGTTCCCAATAATACTATCAAATTATGAACACATAAATGACTAATCCACTGATGAAATTAGTACCTTAATGATCCAATAATTTCAAAATCTTATAGCTGGCATCCAAGTCTTCAACACAATGAGACTTGGGGAGCTCTTTGTAAGTAACAACCATTACAGGAAGAGTCAGAGGAAAAACAGAACAATAGAAACAGATCTGCAATAGTATGCCATGATTACAAACGCCAACTAAACGTTCATTGATGCGTTATATGGAAATTATTTTATATGTGGAAAATAATTATAATCATTTGGTATTCCACTATTCCCCATGATTCAAGAATACAAGCAAATTTTCGGAGTTTAATGTTTTATGGCAGTGGTCCTTACAGCATAGATAATGAAAATGATGGAAATGGTATAAATGGAAAAGATCAGGATAATTCTACAAATCTAGGCTCTATTTTGAAATTCACCACAAATGGGTCTTCCCCAAACAACTCCCCAAACATACAACACTCACAGCATTTCCATTTTCAATCCAGCTGATGGTGGGGACAGGGATGCCTGTTGCTGTACAGCGCAGGGTCACAAAGGAGCCAAATGTGACATTATGGGATTCAGGAGCCCGTAGGATTCTGGCAAAAACTGTCAGGAAGATAGAAGTGGTGAGTGACTCTCCTTTAGAGAAAGATGAAACTCCAGTGGTCTTTTAAAAATTGCAAATGAGAATGTATTTCCCTGTGTAGGATCCTTCCCTCTGTTTTAAGGATACTACCCGTTGACACAACCTGGCCTCTAAGCTCTTCACGCCATCACGCTGTACTTCTTACTACTCCAAGGCCCAATGGACTTATGTCCAGTTTAGGATCTCACTCTTGCTATGACTCTGTCTCTTACACACGTCCCAGATTCCCTGCACCATTGGAAACACTGTTGAAGTAACATTTCCTTTTCAAGGTCCTCCTTAATTGCCTAACATATAGGATGGCTTTTCTATTCACTTTCTTATTATCGTATTTTGTTTTTGCAGACTTCACCGCGATCTAAAATCACTTTTGTCTGTGTCTATTATTTTCCTGTCTCATTAGATCGTCTGAGATTAAACATGTCACCTGCTTTGTTTACTGCTATACAAGTAGCTAGAGCACCAGACTTCCTTTCTCCTGACTTAAAATTCAGTTTTTCTTTCAAACTATTGCAGAGGACTTTTCAGTTCTTATTACATTAAAAACTTAGTATTTTATTCTCCTGCCTGGTTTTTTTCCAAGACTTGAGCATAGAATATAGTATTAAAGTATGAAGCCCCAGTTAACACTATCCCTTGAAGCTTAGTTCTTCTAGTTAATTGAAATGTGTGGCTCTTGGATTCCAAAAGTAGATAGATCAAGCCCAGAGCTGTGAGGCAATAAAGAAAGATGTGATTTGTTTGACAGCTGAATTAAGTTTTGAGGACTTGAATTCTTTTATCTTTTAATATTAGAGATCTCAGCAATGCAATCTGGGACATACTGAACATATAAGTGTTGGCCCCATCTAGAAACGATGGTACATGCCTATAATTCTAGGAGTCTTGGAGATGGCCGAGACAGGAGGACTGAAAGTTTGAGCCCAGCCTGGGCAATTCGGGAAAGTAACGTCTCAAAATAAAATATTAAGGGCAGAGGATGTAGCGCAATGTGAAAGCCCTGGGTTCAGTCTACAGTGGTGGTGGTGGTGGGCAGCAAGGCTCCACTGGACTCAAAGCAAGAAGAACAAAACATAAAGAAAAGTGATGCTTTCATAACAGACGTGTAGCCCTAAACTTTTGTTAAGTCAAGAATAGTGTTAAATTCTTAAAACCCAATTGAACTTGGCCATCTCAAAAGCAAAGTCGGGAGCACGTTAAATAACACCATGAAGATGCTTTTTTAAAGAAAACGATTTCTGAGCTGCACTGTTTATTTTGCTGCTTGCAACTGCCACTATAGTACAAGGTTTCATCTAAACCTTTACTACACTGCAGGTACAGAAATATACGGACACAGTTCTAAAGAATTGACATTTTGCAAAATGTAGCAAACATTTTCATTTATACATGAGAAAAGGAAGTGTTCCAAAGGGTATGCACTACAAGTTATTGCAGGTTATTTTTTTTTTAATTTTATTTATTTATTTATTTATTTATTTATTTATTTATTTATTTATTTATTTTTGGTGGAACCAGGGATTGAACTCAGGCCCTTGCACTTGCCAGGGAAGTGCTTATTCCACTGAGCCATCTCCCTGGATATTGCAGGTTATTTGTGAGAGAATTTCTGCAGGTAAAACACATTCAAATTTACCCAACGTAGCATGTCAGTGTATTTAAAATCATGACAAAATCTTCTCTCTGGTCATGTTGTCCCTGACAAATTACTATGATGTTGTACGGTTAGGGTAAGATGTCAATACAGCATAAATCCCATGGTATTTTGGTTTTCTTCTGGAGATTGAAGCTGTTTTTCTTGGGATAAATACAGCAGCAAAACATAAACCAGTTGATAAAAAAAGCACTTCTGCCACAACTCCAATAACGTTCAGGACACATCAACTGACAATAGTTTTGCCATTCCCAGTTCTCTTAAGGATTATAACTCTGCAATCAGGCAGATCTGTATGTGCTTGCTCTCCATTAGGCCAGCCTGCTGACCACAGCCTGGTTGAGAGAGTTTAGTTGGTTGGTCCATTTATCTAGTGCAGTGTAACAGGTACCACCCCTCTTCTGATGATCTAGTTCAAGGAGCTGGTTGACTTGATCAATTCAGCCATGGATGGTGTTATCCAATATGCACTGCACCAGCAAACTTTCCACATCAGCTACATCTCCTTAGAAATAAAAGAAATATGTATTCTTGTGTAAGGCTTAATTAACTTTATAAGCACTTGTGTTCTGATGTTTTGTAAAAGCTCTTCAATGTGTTCTTTTATGAAAGGATCATCCATAATGTTGCTATGATTTATTTTCAGAATCTTTTCAAATTCAGTGATTTCTTTATTCTGTTAGGCAGTTACTAAATTTGTCATTGCTGGAATTTCTGGATCATTTTTCTATGGCTTAGCCTCCTGTGAATCAAATGGATTTATCCTTGACTTCATTAGCATGTATGCTAAGACCAAGTACTTTAAACAAGTAGTTTGTCTTGGACTTCCTGATTCATCATAATTCTTGCAGGTTTCAAAAATTCTGTGTGTGCCTTTTTAATTTCACCTTCTCTCAAGTGCATCTTACCACCACATTCTCTGATGATGCCCACGATCAGTGGGTGAGGGATGGCAGACTTGATGTGAAGTGACTGCTAGTACAGTGCTTTCAGTTTTTGTTATTTTTGTGCGCCGTGTACATTTGAATTTCTAAAGGCATATATTTCTAATAACTGTGTACCTTTTTTTAAGGTCATTTTCTCCATTGTCAGTCTGGCAGGACTGATGTAACTGACATAATATATTTTGAAAGTTTCCTTTTTCTTCACATTCTAAATATAATTTTCCAAGCTTTGTGTTTGTCTTTTATAAACCACAGCCTATCATTCTTAGCATCTTTCGGAGCTTGTTGTTTATAGAATTCCTGCAGTAAATCCATCTGTTTAGAAGTAGAGATATAATCAAGAATAGAATTGATGGATTTTTCAGAATAATTTCTTGTGACTGCACTCCGAATATAGGTTAAGAGTTGCCTATAGCTATTCATCGTTTCCGGAAAGTTTGTCAACTTGAAGTTAATCTTAATCATTTGTTTCAGTGCTTTAAATCCCCCCTCTCCTTTTTCACTTTCAAGTTTCAAAACTTTTGGAACTTTTTACAGTTTGTGTTTGTGAGTCTACTGCAGTGAGCATCTGTGGGTCCCTTGGCTTCTAAAACCTGAAACAGGAAAGATCCTGAAGCAAGAAATTCAGACTTGGAGTATTTCAATCTCATCAGTACTGGGAAAAAAAATGTTTAACAGCATTAAATCTGGCCTTGAACTTCTATGAGAGCCTTCTTTCTAAAGATGCCCAGATTTTTTAAAAATGGAGAAGAATCAAATCTAGATTTCTTTTTCTGCTTTAATTTATAAAGGCAAAAGTTTTAATTTGGGGGATTTTAAATTCTTGGACATTTAGTAATCCGGGAAGGTTTATTTTGTTCTAATCTTCAGCTTTTTTCTTTTGGCTGGTATCACACATTTGGATTATCATCTGGGCTCATTGCAAAACCCCTGATGATCCATGTTGCACAACACAGTTAAACATTATGTGAAATAGTAAATAAGTCATAGTCAGCCTCTGAGTTACAGTGTTGATATTGGGGTTAAGGTACTCTCTTCTCTGCTCTATCTTAGAATTTTCTGGAGGCTCTAGAGGGACTCAAGGATATATGATATAGTACTATTGGCATTATATACAGCTTAATGAAAGTGATACTGTGCTGGTAAATGCCTGTCCTCCTACTCCACAGAAGTGACATGCCCTTCTTTGACACTGGGTTTCCTTGGCAATGTGCACTCAGCTAAGAGAGGTAAAAGGCCAGGGAATCTGGTCCCTTCTGACTGTCACATTCTCTCCAAAAAATAAAGCAGACACTCAACTCTCTTTTTCTTCAGTATGGAAAGCTATTTCCAACCCTTCCTTTTGGTTTCTATTTTCAAAAGCACTTCTAAATATCATCAAGGCTTTCACTAAATGTGGCACTATCACAGACTTTTTTTTGCCTTCAATCCCTTTACCCTTATTTATTTTTTCTCTATCACTATTGCTTTATCAGTGTTTCATAAATGTTGATTCAATTGTTTGTTTGTTTGTTTGTTTGACAGCTCCTGTCCCTGGAGCATAAGCATCCCAAGGACAGGTTTGCTTTATTCATCAATACAGAATGACTGATGTATCTCTACATCTGTCTTTCTCCAAACTTCTTCCTAAGTAGTACACAGTAGGTGCTCAATCAATATTTGGTGAATGAATGAATGAATGAATGAATGAATGAATGAATGAATGAATGACTTCTCTAGGGAAGAACAGTGGAAGGGACTTGTATGTGGTGTGTGTATTATCCTTCCACACATCATTCTTTCAGCTATCCTACAGTTTAGGGCTTCAGGGTATAATGAGTGAGAAGAGGGTGAGAAGGATGAAAAAATGTTAGTCTAGCTATTAGATGGAAAAAAACCTTTCTTTTCCTCAACCAAGCTTGGCCAAAAATAAAGCTGATATATTCTCAGCCATCTGTCTTTGTTCCTGGTTGTGACTAAGAAAGGTAAAGGGAAGGTGAAAGGAATTCCAAAAACATTCGACAACCATTGAAAACAGTAGTCAGTTGTAGATAAAAATAAATGTCAGACTAACCTTCATGGACAATAATATATATGCAGTAATGTACTTGGGCATAGGACAATTATAAACCCTATTATCTTCGTCACAAACTAAAAACACATTGGAGTTGGGGAGATGATTCAGTAGAATAAGAGCTTGCCTGGCAAGCGCAAGGGCCTGAGTTCAATCCCCCGGTTCTGCCAAAAAACAAAACAAACCAAACAAAAACAACAACAACAAAGAATCACTGTAGGGCATCAACTTAAAAAGTGATATGCTATGTTTCTTATAAAAAAAAAAGGTGTATGAAGCATCCTTCTTTTGTTTTTTACATGAAGGAAA